ACAGCCCATACAGAGCCTTCAGTCTCTCACAGCGTATACAGTGCAAACTGACTGGAGCAGGAGCCTCCTTCGCCCTTACATTCCCTATGAGTATTTTACCCTTCAGCCAGAAAGTAGTTGTCATCACCAGGTGTGTCCAAATGAACTTGCATAAAGCCAGATTACCACTAAATAGAGGTAATTTGTCAAATGAAAGATTTCACATAGTTTATGTGGTATGGAAAAGGAAGAAAAAAAAACTCAAGTCTGAAACAGAAGAATCTAACCACTGACACATGACCTACACTTTTGGAGGGGTGAGGAAGAAAGAACTGGCATATTTAAAACGGGTTCAAGTTACGTACATACATACATGAGAAGACACTTAAGGGTTAAATAACCTGGTGAGCAATATACTTGTCTCAAATACACCGCACACAAGTAGGCCTCCATTAATTTTTCATCTCCCTATCTCACTAAGGTTTCCCTCCAGGCAGCAGCTTCTTTGAGGTCAGTCCAGTGGCTTTCCCTGTTTGTTTTTTGGTTTGTTATTGTTGTTGTTGGGTTTTTTAAATGTCTTCTCAGTGCCTTGAAGGCCTATTTATCATCTTCGTGTAGCACACAAGAACAAGGAAACCATTGATCTCTGCACCTCTGTCACACTCTTGAAGGCTTTCAGGAAGCTACTGTTAACATTTTTAATTCATAGAAAATACATACAGAAAAGGTGCTCTTCGATTGATGATTGATGATCTAATACAAGATTAATTAATATACATACACATTCAATACTTCCCAGGCAGTGTATCTGCCCATGGGAACAGAGGCCTCATAAATCACAGCCGTTCCCTATCTACTACACATTGGAGATGAAGAAACCCCACTTCAGCAGCACGCCGCTGCTAGGGAACTCATGAAGTTTTGTAACCTTTCTCTGGGGATTATGAGAATTGTTTTCTACCATTCTAAAGTGAAGACTACTGCAATGGCTGCAGCTTTTAATTGTTACCAAATCACACAGTGGGGATTAGAGAAAATGGGTTTTATTGAACATCTGTTAGAGAGGTGAAATCATTTGGTCACTCAGCAACTATAACTCAGTTTTCTCATCTGTAAAGCAGGAAATAACTCCTACGTTCCTTCCTTGGTAAAAGAATTTTGTAAATCATCAGTAACAAAATTTATCCCCCCAAGTGGTCTAGATCATAAAGAAGTTGCATCTTCTCATTCCTCCTCAGGAGATCACATCCTAGTGCTAACAAAATCAACATTTCTAGGTACACACCAACATCCTGCCATAGAGGCTTCCTTAAGGCATACTATGACTACTACCAGGCTCTCACTACAATAATACAATGTTCGCAATCATATCTTAGCACCACCCCAGCTTTGCAGCCAATCTGCTTGAATATATCTACCTTTGTATTTGCACGAAACCTGGCTAATCATAACTCATTAATAATGCTTAGACATAAGATTATATTACACTAATAATACTTAAACATGGAGATCATATCGCAGGCTCTGTCATAAATACAGTAAATTTTAATTTGAGGTTCTGAAATGGATCATCAGCTGAGCCCAAATGCATGCTGCTGTTAAAATATTTTAAGACCCAAGGAAGACAGACAGACAGTAACAGTTGTACTTGTTACTAGCACATTGCCAGCAACAAAAGCAAACAGACACAGATGCCAGCTGAGTAAAATTACAAAGAAACTACAAAAAGCAAGAAAAATCAGAAGTCTGGATATCCAGAGAGCCATGCAAGCAAACACAGGCTCAGAACAACACTTGAAGACTTAGGAAAGAGAAATACAATATAATTCCTTTAAACATCAATGACACGTACTGTAATCAAAGTGATTTGGCAACTGATACTGAAACAACGACCATGCTGTCACTAACACAAGAGGGAGCACTTAAAAAAAGTGTATATATATATATACAAAAAAAAAATATAGATCAAGAGACAACTGGAGCAAGAGTATTAAAAGAAACTCCTAGACATAAGAAGAAAGCATCAAGTTACCAAACAAAAACCCACAAAAAAACACATCCATGCACCAACACATCATGGCAGTTTCACTGACATAATTAACAAACAAATTAGAAAACTACATTCTTGGTTAAACAGCTGCAACCTTTTTTTCCGTAATACCAGCATTTACAAAGCGGAACTGGGTCATGATGACCTATCAAAAAAATCCTTAAGAGTATTTAGTTCTACACACAAACACACGTTTCTCTGTCTCAAGAGTTGTTCAGTTTTCCTTTGCTCATACTTTCACAACAGCAACCATCCAAAAACACTTTTTAAAAGACCTAATAATAATAATAATAAAAGACCTATTTGAAATCAGAAAAGCACACTGATCGTTAATAAGACCTTTATTTTCATAAACATAACAACATTCTTAACTGACCACCTCTCACTACAACAAAAAACCCCACTTAATCGTCGAAGTGAGTCGGCCAAAACACAGTATGTTCCCTTTTACCATGGGGTCGCATTGTGACAATCAGCAATTCAGCATGGTAATCCTGTTCTGGTTTCGTAGGTATTTATTTAAAATAAATTTGAAATATCACATCTAATGTTCAGAAATACGTAAGCTGTTCAACACTGCAGTACATCCACATTTCCACCCTTCAAGGCAAAGCAGACCAATACTAAAGCTGTCTGCAAGCTTTTAGAAAGATGTAGTGTCTTTCTGCTGAATATGGGAATTATTTGCCTTTTACTTTTCTCAAAGGCAAAGAATCCAGTTAACTGAAAATAAAGACAAAATGTTTATATCAACTAAATCGAGAAACATTCTTCAATACTGCTGGCACTATTATATTGTTCAACAATAGCTAACAAAATCATTACTACTGACACATTAGCAGGTACTGCAGTTTGGACGGGATTGCTCATTAGTTGCAAATCAACAAGAAATTTACTTTCTAATTTAAAAAAAAAAAAAAAAAGGCACAGCATTATCTGAAAAACCTCCCAAGTGTATGGTTTAGTACAACAACCTGATGAGGCAGGTAGCAATAGATAATTAAGACCACGGCAACTAATACAACGTTTGCACACAAGTATCTCCAACATCACCTTTGTTTCTTTTTCCTCATCTCCTTCCCATGTTCCATGTGTTTCATCTATCCATTGAAATATCTCTTCTCTCAGGGGCCATACTGGACAGAGACTATGCTTTCATTATTTTGCAGGAGGAAATAAGCTCTAATAGCCTATTTGGAAATCTTACAACTTTGTAAGCGTACAATAGCAATATGAGGAAAAACAGCATAAAATAATGCAGCCATTGTCCTAATAGCCTGCTGTTGCAGCAAAATAAATGAGACCTAAAATACTGGTGTAAGACTAGCCTTTATATTTCACCAACATATCATTCAAACTAAAAGGCAGAGATTAAAAAAAAAACCAAACAACAAACCAACAAAAAAACCCCGCTTTGAGTTGCATATTCGCTGTACTTTTTATCTCCTTTTAGTTCTCACAGTAAATGCAATGCCCTACAGAATCAGCACCAATGTCTACTCTATTGCTTTTAAAAATGGAAAGTGCCAAATACATAGGAGGAAATAATAATTAGGAAAAAAAAAAAAAAAAGCAGCATTCCAGGAAAAGCATATTTAAAAATTAGCAACTACAGAGCTGAAACCCAAGGCATAAGGGATGAGAAAAGGGTACACACAGGAACAGTTTATTTTTTTGTGGTCAGAAAGCATGTGAGAGAAGCCCCTGGGAACCAAGAAGCAGCTGACAGACCAGAAGAGTGTTATGATTCTGGTTTCTTACCTGTATCTAGCCACACATTTTTATGGACAAGTGCAACGCAGTAATAAGATGAAATAATTTGGAAATATTAGATTTCGTGTTCAGTAGATGGGTATGACATCTTTAAAATGACTTCTTTTTTCTTTAAAGTTTTATGTCTTATTTACTTTAAATTAGAGAAAAGAAATAAGAACAAGGTCGGAAGAAGCTGTGAGAATTTTTTTTCCCCCTTTTAAGTATCAAGTATCAAGTCCAACATTCCCTAGTTTTGCTGGCTGAATCTCTTGAAGATTTAAAAATAAATACATTGTGAGCTCCAGAACATCAATGAGTTATGAATATAAACATTTTAAGAGAGTCTTTGTTTAAGATTCATTAAGCCCTAGAATTAAAAACAAGCTGCCAAAGCACATACAGATTAGTGAGGTTAGATTTGGACATAGGTCTTTCCTGCAAAGATCCTGGATCTCATACAGAATAGCAGTAGGATGCGTGAGGCTCTATGGGGATGAGCGGGTTGTAAGCAAAAGAGGGAGAATGCTGTATGAACTCATTGCAAGATACAGAGTTAAGCAGTGACAGTATCCATCTCTCTTCCTCTCCCCTGCTTAACTTTTAGTGCCTTGTAACTATAATCGCAAAAGCTTCTCTACTTGCCACCATCTCTTAGCTAGCAATTTCTCGTGCAAGTACAATCCTCCATTTTACAGCACTTCTAAACTGCAACTGAAAACAAGCCCCTTGCTTCTAGAATAACTGCAATGCACCTTTCCTTCTCCAAGATATGCCAGTTTTAAATATGATGAAAAAAAAGATACTCCAGAATATAGGATCTGAAGTACAAAAAAATTCCTTTTCTCCCTTAACTCTGTCTTTAGCCTTAAGTGTTGCATAAATAAATCTCAATCTTGCCATAAAGAATGAGTATGGACACAAGCAGTTTCCAAATCACGTAAAAACATTTCTGCCTTTAGAATATACATGTGTGATGCCAAAGATAATCAGTAAGAAATAACAAAGCAAATCTTAACATGCTGACTACTCATTTTTGGCAGTGCTCATTTGAGTAACAACAAACTGTGAGGCAGCAAGAACTATCAAGGGCTTAAGTTCAAAATGTAAATCAGAGTACACCAAAGGCACACTCCAGATTTACTCAGGTGTATATTTGTGATCCATGCAACCTTCTGAAAAGTCAGTATTATACAGCAAGCTTAAATTAATCCTATGCAACTTGCATACAATTTTCCTGCTTACAAAAAGCCCACAGTAAGTGCACAGGGCTGTAACAGTTACAGGGGTAGTTCTTTATTTATGGGATTCCATACTAGTGTACAACTTGGAATCAAGCATATCCACTTAGCCAGACAGACTCTTTAACACACAGCATGAGTGAGAGGCCTTCCTGATTACATCCAGTTCTCTCCAGGATCTTCAAACATAACACTGAAACCAGCTGAACACAATGAACAGGCTGCGAGGGAAAGATCAAGTGCAGAAGACTTGCCTTTACCACAAAACCAACCTAATTACAACTAGAGTCTTAAAGCTTACTAAGATCTTCCAACACACCAACACCTTTCTTCCAGCTGTTTATTTTCATTACGTCTCCTTGGACATACTGGTAAAAAACAAGGGGGGAAAATAAAGTAATTGGTGATTAATATAGGCAAGGTGATGTGACTAGAGGCTCAGAGTGCCATTAATCACCTAGTACAATGATTTTCAACATTATCTCCTCCCCATCAGTATGTCTCAAAGTATTTTCCAGTGGAAGCATTGACATTTGTACAGTGAACAAAAGCCCACTGACAGCAGGCTTGTTTCCATTAAGTTCTTGTGATGGAGTCATTTTAAGTTGTGAATGGTTAAAAATCATTGCTTTAATACAATCTCAGTTTCCCCTGTACATCTTTTCTTAGCATCTCCTGACACCGGACTAGCAGTTGCTCCTGAATTCATATTGGTCACATCAACTTTTGAAAGTCATGTTCACACTCAGCTCCGAGCAACGGTGATCGTCCCACTCAAGCCAAGGGCTCTGCTGAACTGTAAATGCAACCAGCGAGAAAGTTTTCCCAGGTATTATCAGCTACTTCCCACAGGCTGACAAAGACTCTAGAGGATCTCTGGTATGAGGTCAACAAGGAACAAAATTTCAAGGTTGATACTCAGAATTCAATGATATCTACAAGAAATTCGGACAGAAAACAAGCTGGGTGTACGAGGAAAATACAAGTTATCTGAATTAATTTAAGTAGGAAAAAAAAAACCCTAGTTTAGCTTGTGATCAAAGTTAAGAAGAGAGCTGAAACATTTGTTTCAAGATTATCAGGAACACTCACGCTTCACTATTTGCACATGATGTCAGCAAATTGAGAATAGTTCTTTCCCCTAGCAAAATAATAGTAAGAGGAAGCATTTATCTTTGATACCAGAATTATTACTTCCTTATAATAAGGTGTTTCCTCTAACTTGTGTACCCTGTACTCTGAGTTTAGCTTGCAAGACTAATACTTCTGAATATATTTACTCTGGAAGTTAGACATCAACTTCTTTGACCGACTAGATATGCCCAGCATTATTTTTTTCACTCATACAAGAATTCTTACAAAAAGGTGTTTTCCTAACTTTTCATATTCATGACTGTTGTTGCCTACAGGCTTCTCTAGACAGTGTAACTTAATGGCAATGGAAAGCAAAAATTAAACACCAACAGCACTAAAGCCAAGACACATATGAGACAAAACTGTATGAAACTCCATACATAATGTTACTATAGAAATTTCAGAAAAATAGGTGGCTTAATCCAGGTGTCTGGGGCTACACTCCCAAATCTCCAACTGACAGCTGTAGCTGCAAGTGATTCAAGCGAATTGGCTAGGTTTACTGAATGGTATTTTCAAACTTTAAAATGAAAATAACCCCTCTGAATTTAAAGGTAACTAGGAATCTAGATACCCTACACACAAAAGCCAACATTAGGATTCATTTTTGTCGCAACTAGGGCCCATTTAATGATGGATAAATCTGACAGGAGAAGAGACAGAAACATAATTAGATAATCTCCCTGTTCACACTGATACATTAGCAGAGAGTGTAATTATGATAAGAGACAAAATGAAACATACACAAAGGTTTTATAAAATTATTATATATGGCACAAAATCGGAGGAGATTAACAGTTAGCATTTTACAATAAGAAGTGCACAACAACTGAAATTGTACTTTTTCTACCAATCTGTCAGCAACAGTGATCTCTGAATTTGGAAATTCTTTAGCTAACTCTCAGGATCAATGCCCTAGCCCCCCCCAAAAATCAGTGGTCTTTGGTCACTGGCCCCAGAAGTGTCATTGTTCTTCTGATAAGTAATATCTTCTGCACAACGTAAAGCATTTTCAGAGCTTTTCCAGTGTCTGAGCAACATTTCTTAGTACTTCCATTAGTAAGCATCAAAAGAATCAACTGAGACACAAAAATATATTTTGTCCTGAAACACAAACTGGACTAAAGTAACTCATTGACTCATGTCTAACTTTCCTTAAATTTATTTTGTATGGAAAATTAAATACAATTTAGAGAAATCTTACCGTCATGAATCTCAAATGCCAAACTAGTGATCTTCTGTGTAATTATCATCATTGGACTGTTACAAAAAAGGAAGAAAGAATAATTTACAAAAAAGTTCAGGATTTTCTTTCACATGTAAATATCAGGGAAAGCTTATGCTAATAGTCCAGGTTATTTATTCTCAACTGGAAGATTTTCAGTGCAAGGACAAAGTGATTAGTTTCTGGAGCTCAAACCATTACACAGTTTTCAATGCAACGAAGAGAATTTCATCCTTAGATACAGTATTGATAACCCATGCCTTTTATTGCTGCATTAGGTTCCCCAAACACAGCCAAAGTGTTTCACATTTATTTTTTACTAACATAGTTTATTTTTTTTACAGTGGGAAGAGTAAAGAAAAAAGGGCAGTAAGAGCAATTATATACATTGTAAATTACAGCAGCAGTAAGCAAAGGAAAATAAAAATATACCAAATTTGAACAGTACTATAAATTTTCTAGACACGTAGTCCACTTCCACTGTTTCTACTAACACCTGGTCCTAAGCTTAATTTTTCCATCTAGAATTATTATTTGCTTCAAGTAAACATATCTGGCAAAACAAAGGGTTGACATAATTATACTGGCTCCAACAGAGTGTACTTTGTTTTGAATTTGGTACACTTGAATGAATCTTAAACTGTTCAAGAGATATTCTTCCCTGGCTAAGCGAGTCAGCTTTATACTGAGAAATTATACCATCTTTGTAGTATCTGAGAGTTTCTGACTGATGTAAATCCCAACATTGCTACCCCCCCTAACTGGGGGGGAGAGGGGAGGGAAGGGATAGGGGAGCGCATAAAGTAGGCTACCAGAATTTAGAAATTTAACTTTGAAATCAGATCTCAAAAATATATCAGGGACTACATCTATCTAGTAGTATCTGAGCTGGAGACAAAAAAAAACCCCAAACCCCCCCACAAAATAAAATAAAAAACCCAACAAAAACCACAACAAAATAACCATACTGTAGGATGGGCACATAGTTTTGTTCAAGTCTTTTGGCTGCACTTGGCCTTTTTATAAAAAGCTTAATTTGGCACAAGAAAACAAATCCAAGTCAAGCCATCAAGTCCTCCTTCACTGACAGGGCTATGCCAGTATTTTGCACGATGGCTCAGTCTGTCAAATTAATTTTTTTTAGGTTATGGTTATATCAAAGCACATAGTCTTTCCAGTCCTCAAAATGCAATCGAGGAAAAAGTTTTTTCTACCATATTATCAGTGCCCCAAAAATCCAGATATCAAGACTAACGTGACAGCCAAGGGTCACCAAGGAAGAAAACTAAAGAACAGACAGCCTGGGAAATCCCTCATATCTCTTTCTACCATCTAGGTTGTAGACCTGCCTGCTGCTGGCAGAAATCCCCGACTGATTCTGAACATAATGGGTTTTCCTTCTGTAAGTGGACATGTGACAGCATGGATCCTGCCTGGTGGAAAGATGAAGCCCAGGAGGAGCTCAATTAGACCTTACATTAGTTCTAGCTGATACATCTGTGACTGTTATAGCAGGACCCAGTATTTTTTTCCTTCTCAAGTGGCTATTCCAGTATCACCAGAGATCTGGCTGAGGAGCAACAATCTAGAGACTCAAAGAGGAAGAGTCCTTCTTGGAACCGTGAGGCTGTGAACCAGGATTTTAACGATCCCTTTTAGGTGCTGGCAGAAAGACAAAGAAGGTGGTGGAAGGCTCACTGGCAGCTGGGATCTGTTAGTACTGAAACCAGGACCACACAGCTCTGCAGAAGCTATTGCACCTCCAGCATGAGGTCTCCTCAGCTTTCTCCACTGTCAGTGCATTGATACCTTCCTTCAAACTTTTTGCAGGTTCTCTGGGCTTGGACACCTCAGATTGGCATGGCATGCTAGGAGAAATATCTAGGTAAACAGACATTCAAAGCTCTTTTGGGGCTAAACACTATATGAATCCATGCCAACATCTTTGGAAGAACTTGCTGGTGCTGGGGTTCAACAGGTGGTTAGGCAACTTTTGTTATTTTCTTGAGCTTACTCTCTTCCCCTGGAACTAGAGAAAATTGGCAGAAAATAGCCCCCCTCAGATCATTTTCTTTCTCCTCATGTTTTGGAAGTAACCTCTGTCTCGGCCTCAAGGGAGCAGATGCAGTACATGTCAGAGATTTAATGTGATATGCATATGAGCTCCCAAACTGGTACATGAAAGGATGGATTAAATCAGGCAGCTCAGACACACAATCAGAGAATTGGATCTAGGCTTCAGAACACTTCTACCCAGAGCACAGGTCTCATAAACCTTTGGATGTGTTTAGACTTAGCAGAAATCTCTGAGCTAACACCAAACCACAAAGACAGCTGCTATCTGAAAGCAGCACAGTTGCATTTGAGCAATGGCATGCTCAAGCTCTACTGACGGTTTTGGGAGCAGCAACAAATAAGTGCAATTATACTGTTTACAGATTCAGCTCAGAGCTTTGAGCACACCTTGGCAGTGATCACTTTGGCCCTACAGTGAACTAGAAGGGACAGCATTTGGATTTGGGTTGTGATCAGTGGTGCAGAGTCTAGTTGGAGGCCTGGAGCCAGTGGTGTTCCCCAGGGGTCAGTTCTGGATCTGGTCTTGTTTAACTTATTCATCAACGACCTGGGTGAAGGAACAGAGTGTACGCATGCTGATGATACGAAACTGGGAGGAGTGGCTGATACACGAGCGGGCTGCACTGCCGTTCAGTGAGACCTGGACAGGCTGGAGAGTTGGGCGGGGAGGAACCTGATGAAGTTCAACAAGGGCAAGTGTAGGGTCCTGCACCTCAGGAGGAATAACCCCATGTACCAGTACAGGCTGGGGGTTGACCTGCTGGAGAGCAGCCCAGTGGAGAAGGACTTGGGAGTCCTGGTGGACAACAAGTTGACCATGAGCCAGCAATGGGCCCTCGTGACCAAGAAGGTCAATGGTATCTTGCGGTGCATTAGGACGAGTGTAGCCAGCAGGTCAAGGGAAGTTATCCTCCCCCTGTACTGTGCCCTGGTGAGGCCACATCTGGAGTGCTGTGTCCAGTTCTGGGCTCCCCAGTTAAAGAAAGACAAGGAACTACTGGAGAGAGTCCAGCAGAGGGCAACGAAGATGATGAGTGGACTGGAGCATCTCCCTGATGAGGAAAGGCTGAGAGAACTGGGTCTATTCAGCCTGGAGAAGAGAAGACAGAGATGATCTGATCAATGCTTATAAATACCTTAAGAGTGTATGTCAAGAGGCTGGGGCCAGACTCTGTTCAGTGGTACCCAGTGACAGGTTAAGGGGCAATGGGCACAAACTGAAACTCAGGCAGTTCCACCTGAACATGAGGAAGAACTTCTGTACTGTGAGGGTGGCAGAGCCCTGGCACAGACTGCCCAGAGAGGTGGTGGGGTCTCCTTCTCTGGAGTTACTCAAAACTCGCCTGGACATGATCCTGTACATCCTGCTGTAGGTGACCCTGCTTTGGCAAGGGGGTTGGACTGGATGATCTCCAGAGGCCCCTTCCAACCCCAACCATTCTGTGATTACAATTCCACTTGTAACGATGAAATTTAATTCAACATCAGTAAACCTGGTTTTAAAGTGTCTTTATGCATATGTCTGTTGCAAGCTGTCATTATAGCCAGTGGAGATCTAGACAATAGAGTCGGGGCATCTGGCAAGTGACCCAGTTCACGCTAAGGCAGATACTTTGCGGTGGGTCAGCTGAAATGCCCTCCAGGCTCTACTGTCTACATCCATCAGATCTCCACTGACTACAGTTGGAACTTGGGTAACTGGCTTGCAGGCAGACACTTGGGATGTAGGCATAAACGTACAAAGATGTTTCAGAAAGTAAGACCCTGCTAAAAATGACAGAAAAGATGAACTTATTCATAAAAGCTTTTGGCTTCAGCCCACAAGTTAAGTTTCTGGACTACATGCCTGTTACCAACGAAGACTGAGAAGCAACAAGGCTACCAAGCACAACTCTACTACACAACACAGGTAATACTAAACTACAAAGACCACTGCCATTCATAGAATTCCTGAAAAGTACTTAATGCATTTTTTTTTTAAGCAGACTAGCAAACACTTCCCATCTCTTTTTTTTCAAAACACATACTCTCCTTTAAATCAACAAAAGCACCATCACAGTAGCAAACTTATTTATAGGAAATGTGCTTTGCTTCTCTGTGTCTGCAGTACAAAGAAGAATCACAAAAATGGTTTATATTTACTTTGCCTATTTAGTTCTGTTTTGCTCTTACACAACTCAGGTCAAATATAGGTCTAAGTTCATGATATAAAATGAGAACACATATAGACAAAGCTTTCTATTTCCAAGAGCTGTGTGACTACCCCACCATAGAGGTGCCTGTCTCCTTAGCTTTCTCCTTCTGGAACACCTAACATCAAAAAAAGAAAGAAGCTAAAAGCTAAATTCCATAAGACATTCAGAATTTCCTCACAAAGTGGTATCAGACTGTGCCAGGAATGCAAGTACATCAGATACAATTCAAGTTTCATCATGTTGTCATGAGTGGTAAAAGGGATTTTAGGGGAAAAAAATAAAATCAAAAAAAATAAAATAAAAATCACACAGCCACCAAATCCTTTATGTCCTTCAGACAGGAACAGGAGGCAGCAGATTAACGCATCCATGGTTCCAGCAGATACAAGTGTTCCCAAAATTCTTACTTTGCGTGATTAAAGCACAGATACATATATATTTGTGTGTGTGCCAGTACACCCACACACGCCCAACTTTCACCCAAAGTTTAAAAGGTTGGCACACTTAACTTTGAGAAAAAATAAACCAAACAAAAACAAACAAACAAAACCCAAACAAAACCCAAACCAAACCAACCAACCAAAAAAAAAAACCCCAAACCACAAAACAGAACAAAAAACCCTACCCCAAACAATAACAATTACAGTATCACTTAGGAGGACAAGATGGAAAGATTATTTTTCTCCTTACCCGGAAAAATCAGCAGAATACTGTCCATAATCAAAGATATACACTCTAGTAATTTGGCACACAGTGAGGTATCCCAAAGCAAAAACAAAGCAATACCTGAAAGGAAAATGGAAAAGCAAGTGTTTCAGTTAAAAATCATAAACATTTCTCCATTGAATAAACTACCTTTTAAGTAGAGTTTAGTCTCTAATTATTTTCAGTGAATATTACATAACTGGAGTGTGTAATTACACCTTTATTCTGACTGGGTTTTTTTGGTAATATTTATTCTATGCAAGCACATAGACTTCTTTTTTTTCCCCCTAAGTGTGCAGTACTACCTTACAGATTCTATTGTCATTAGCCAAAATACTTATTCACATAAATAAAGCATAGCATTTATAATTTCAAGTGCCATCGTAAAATCTGGAAGTCCTATAAAGAGAAAATGAATCTGTTAAGCTTCTTTTTTTAGATCAAAGTTAATTTTTGTCTATATGAGTACAGATATTTAGCAAACTATACATAAAACATCATTTCAATTGAATGTATTGCTATGCATTCAAGATTCAGCACCACAAATCCCATTGCTGCTATTTTCAAAGGAACTGGAAAAGGCAATTAATTTTCAAACACCTATATTAAAACATATCTGAGTGAAAAAAAGAACAGGATGCCTTTATGCCTCCTGTTAAAGCTGATCCTCAGCAAATGTAAGAAAAAACACAGATAAGAACATTATGTAAGTATTATAAATTTAATTTCACATATCATTTTTTCAGGTGAGGGTTGGGATTCCCCCCCCCTGCTTCTGTCACAAATGAGCAGGTTTGGGTCGCTTCAAGAATCACCATCAGAGGTATTAGCAGAAATGGTTTTAATATGAATTAATAGGTGTCATTCGTGACCCCTTTTTAAGATGTATAAGAGTACATTAGAATCATAGAATCATTATGGTTGGAAGAGACCTCAAAGATCATCAAGTCCAACCGTATACCTGATGCCACCATGCCCACTAAACCATGTCTTGAAGCGCCACATCTAAACGTTTTTTGAACACCTCCAGGGATGGTGACTCCACCACCTCCCTGGGGAGCCCGTTCCAATGCCCAACAACTCTCACAGTGAAGAAGTTCTTTCTAATGTTGAGCCTGAACCGATTTGCTACTACATCTCACAAAATCTGTCAGGTATTCTTTGCAGTCAAAAAGGATGGTG